TCTGCCAAGACTTTTATTAATTGTTTTCCACTACAAGTCGATGAAGCATGACAGGGTTACTGTCCTCCTGTTGCCGTTGAGAAAATAGGGACAGAGGGTTAAGCAACTCTCCTAAGACCACACATCAAAGCAGGGGCAGAGTTGGCATGAGAAATCATTTTCCTGGAATCTTGGCTCAGTGCTTTCTTTAAAAAGAATCATGAAAGTTTCAAACAAACAAAAAAGAACAGATCATAAAATAACAAACACTCAGGAACCCATCACTCAGCCTCAGAAGTTTTGTAAGAGAGAAATATTTCCAGGTAGAGTGGAAGCCCCCCTTGTACCTCTTCTGGTTCCCATCCCTGACCTTCTCTCCTCTGAGGAAATCAATACCCTGAATTTGGTGTTTCACACTCTCATACATATTTTTACTCCAAATGTATATATCCCTAAAAAATATGGTACAGTTTTGCACATTTAACTTTATATTATTGCTGTTATCTTGTATGAATCCTCTTATAATTTGCTTTTTTTTTGCTCAACATAGTTTTTAGTATATATCCATGTTGATACATATAGCATTTTTTATTCATCTTACCAATTATATAATATTACATTGCATGAATATATAACAGTTTATCTGTTCTCTTTGTGAAATTTAGATTTTTTTTTTGCTGTTCTCTAATATTATAAACAATAACACGATGAACATTCTCATACCTTTCACTACCTTTCACTTTCTGATTACTTTCTTGAACACCATTTGAAAAAAAAAAAGAGTACTCTTATGGAAATAGGCATAGAGATTCAATTGCCCTATCTAACTTTGGTGTTAGAGTAATGCAAGAGTATGAACTTACAGGCTATATTTACATTTCAGGAGACTCATTCTGAATCTACAACCAATCCATGTTCCATGTATACCATGATTTTCAGTTGTTGTATCAAGATCTATCATTATACCTTAAAATCTCACCTATTAATCCACAAACTAGTCCTTACTAATGATACTTCTTTCTGGAACCAGATCTGAATTTCTGTGACCTGCAAGATTTTTGTCCAGTTGAAAAAAAATTGGCAGCAACCACAGTGTTGGATTGATAGGAATGTGCTCTGAATAAAGCAAATTTTGTCATTACAGCTATAGAAATACAGTAGTGGCCTGAAATATTTAAGCACATCAAAATGATTTCCTGCTAAAAAAGCATGCCATGGGGAGAGGGGGTGAAATTACTATGGGATATCAAGTCTGTCTATCCTAAGCACTATCTTTATGGGATAGGAATGAGGCAAAGGATGGTCATTTGCTTGATTTATATTTAGGAGCCTTATAGTCTGTTTAAAATGGCTGATAGAAAAAAACCTCAATGTTGGGGCCGGCCTGGTGGCAAAGTGGTTAAGTTCATGCACTCCACTTCCGTGGCCTGGGGTTCGCCAGTTCAGATCCCGGGCGCAGACATACACACCACTCATCAAGCCATGCTGTGGTGGCGTCCCATACATAAAGTAGAGAAAGATTGGCATAAATGTTAGCTCAGGGCCACTCTTCCTAAGGCAAAAAGAAGAGGATTGGCAACAGATGTTACCTCAGGGCCAATCTTCCTCACCAAAAATCAATCAATCAATCAATCAATCAATCAATCTCGATGTGAACAATGAAACTAAGTTATTTTGAAAAATCATTATGCTTTATTCTGGAGTCTCAGAATTCTGAAGAAGATGGTCCATTGTGTTAATACTGGAACTGCTTTTCAGTACCACTAGCAAATTGTGAAGACACTAGCACAGATTTGGGAGAAATTACTGGCACAGGAGTTGGTAGACTGTTTTTGACTTGACTCTTCCTCTGACTATGAACCTTGTGAAAAAGTCACCCAAGCATCTTGGACATGAGGTTGCCCTAGATCAGTGCTTTGCAAATTTTTTCTGTTGACCCCATGGGTTGTTAAATCAATTTGGTGGTTTGAGACCAACATTAAAAAAAAATAATGTGCAATAGAGCAGAATATATTCACGGTACAGTGTATTCACTCAGGGTAAATATTATTTCATAAAATTTTTGTTACAGATGGATGTGTGCATGTGTATGACTGCTGTGGAACATTATGTAAAGTAAAATACTTATTCTGTATTGCTTTCAGAAATGTTGAAAGCCATTTATACCAGGCAACTTCAGAAAGTATCTCAAGGACCTCTCAGATATGGTTATGATCTTATTTAAAATGCACCAGTCACTCCCTTTTTTTAGGATGAAGCCAAGATTTCCCAGTGTAGCAAAACAGGCCCTTCATAATTCTTTTGGTTGCAAATGCACTGCAAGAACATAGTGAACTACAAGCTTTATGTTTCTACAGTACTGCCTCATGCCTTTGGTGACATTTTTTCCTTGGCCTCAAATGCTCTCAGTAGCCACAAAGCATTGTCTTTGCTAGAAACACTTCCACTCAACTATTCTTCATAGAATTGACCACTCCTTTTCTTTGGCCTCTCTTATTATCTTTACTGACTTATGTCATAGCCTTCAGTACACTTTCTTGCAGTTAATAATGGTTTAAAAATCTATCCCAGATACCCTAGTAGAATGTGAAGTTTTTGAGATCATGTCTTTATATCATAAGAATTTTGGTTCTTTCCTTTTCTTATGCATATACTCTCTTCTCCCTTGCTCTTAAAATAACTTAATTATTTAAAAACAATACGTGTTCATTTTAAATGACTCAAATAACATAAAAAGGCAGTTGAAAAATCACCCTAAATCCTACAACCTAAAGATGACTACTATTAATATATAAACTAATGTCTCGCTCTACCTACATACACATATAAAGAAAGGTACACATGCACATGCATGCACACGCACACAGTGTTAAACGAAGACAGTCATGCACCACACAACGATGTTTTGGTCAATGACAGACTGCATATATGACTGTGGTCCCGTGAGATTAGTACCGTATAATCTAGGTGTGTAGTAGGCTATACCATCTAGGTGTGTGTAAGTACACTCCAGGATGTTCACACAATGACGAAATCGCCTAACATTTCTCAGAACGTGTCCCCGTCGTTAAGCAACACATAAATGTAAATTCATTCGTTAATCTACTGTCCTTTCCACAATGTCAAGGACACTTTCTGTGTCAATGATATATCTGTACATAATTTTAAATGGCTGCTTATAATTCTAATTTATGGAATACTTTGGGTTTTGTTTTGGTTGCCGTTTATCAACATCAATATTAGCGATGGTGGACCTGACTTCTTATTCCTCGTATGCTATGAGTATCAATTAAAAAGCACCATTATTGTCCTTACTTTCTTTGGTTAGCTGTGGAGTCTTGAGCTGCTTTTATAACTCTCTTCAAGACATTCTACATTGTGCTTCCTTCCCTTTCTCCTTGGGCTGTGTCCTGTGAAAATCTCTGTATACCACAGAGTCTCCTACCTAGCAATGTGATATCTTTAGTCAAACTTTCTCTTTCTTATGAAAATCATCTATAGTTACATAGTAAGGGTTTCACTTTTGACAGCTTTTCTGTTTAGGAACTAATAGAGTGGAATCATGCATATATTTTATATGAATATTTTGATTTTCACTTCCCTAACACAGAGTATATATCTGGATTGTACCTGACCTTCCTCTATTCTGTGGTCATGAAATTCAAGATGGTGTATAATTATTTTCTTTGGATATTTCCATTTTACCAACCACTTCCATTCTTTGGTAGATATGTATTGTTAGTATAGTCTGTTAGGATACTTCCTCTACTCTATGGAGCTAAAGTCAAGAACTACTCAGGTATATTATTTTAATAAAATGAAATATCTGGTACAATTTTGGAAAGTGCAAAGCCTTATGATAAAAGCTTATTTGTGTTATGTTTGTGATCTGATTCAGGAATATGTCATCTATTTCTTTGATGTAACTGGATAGCCTAGAATCAGAATAGGGACGCAGAATAGGGAATGGGGAAACTGAGGCATATTTCTAAGTCCATATTGTTCCTATGTATTTTCTCCTGTTTTGAGTCTCATTTAAAACTCTCAGGAATTCTTCATCCCTTAATTTGTGGACTCAATAGTAGAGTGTATTTTCATACTGTACAGTATTAACCCAACACCTCTCTTAGAAAGCCTTTTTGTTTCCATCTCTATATTCTGATCTTGAATCCTATCTCACCCAACTCAGAGATGCTTGTGATATGCCTTTTATTACTCATGCTCTAATTATTAGTATGTAGAGATCTGAGCAGTCAGTCATTTCCTGCTCCCTAGCCAATTATCTCATATAATTAACTGTCGCCTCTCGTGTTGTTTCTCTTTTCATGCCATACTTGTGCTTCTTCCTAGCAGTTGTTCTCGACCAGGATAGATTTTGTGCTTATGGAACATTTGGCAATGTCTGGAGACTTTTTTGATTGTCACAGAAAGGGATACTACTGGCTTCTAAATGGTAGAAGTCAGAGATGCTGCTTAACATACTACAGTGCAGAATATAGGCCGACTCTCCACAACAAAATCTTATCCAGTCCAAGATGTCAATAGTGCCAAGGTTGAGGAATCTTGCTATATAGAAACTGACTTCAAGTGTTTTATTTGAACTTTCAGATTTCTCCCTCCACTGAGGTATTCAGTTTAATATATTCTCTTGATTCAGATTAGCTACTCAGTAGTAAAAACTGAAAGGTTATATCTCATATCTCATTTATGTCATGCTTGAGTTGAAGAGAGGCAGCAGCCATCATCATCAGAAATGTTTCCCTTGTTAGTAGAGCAGTATTATATATGACTAGTTGACATTACCACAGTTACACAGAATAGGGAATGGGGAAACTGAGGCATATTTCTAAGTAAAGAATAAAACCGGAGGGATTAATAACTATGATTATCCTCAGATACTCTCTGCTCCAAATGATATTTATTGTTATAGAAATTGCATTTGCAAATATATTGAGGAAAAAACCATGGGCAGGGTAATACTAACACCATTTCCCTTTTTTCTCCTTTCTTTTTTTTTTCAGACATTTCACATTTTCAAGAACAAAATGATTTAAAAGGATTACTAGAAAATCTCCATCAAAATATCCAAGCCAAAAAAAGAAAGAATGTAGAAATCATGTGGCTGGCTGCAACAGTAAGCATTCTCCTGTCAAATCTTATACGTTGTCACCATGATGACTAGCAAAGCTTTATTTGGTAGCTATTATGTAGGGTCCAAGCTCTGCACTTTGGGTTAACAGATGTCATCCTCCGTTATCCAGGGGATTAGGCATTTTCAATGTTGTTGATAGTTCTATCAATAGACTAGAACACAAATTGGAAGAAGATGCACTCAGTGAGAAAGAATCTTACTCGTTGGCTTTTCTTATAAATCCTGGATGTGTTTGACGCTTTGAGGATAATACAAAATGTCTATGATTTTCTTGATACTGCATGTTTCAGTGTCAACCACCCATATCAATCAGGATTTTGAAGTGCTACACTAGGGATGGATAGTTTCATCAGAATATGGTTATCAGATTTCTGACTCACAATCTCAGTAAGGATCCTGGACATATTGTTCAATTAATGACCTTGTAAATGTGTTTGTTAATTTAGATATTGGCATAGAATTTATTACCGAAGAATTGCTCTTGGGTAATGAGCTATATTTTGTGTTGTTCTTTCTCATTTAATGGCACCCTCAGGGTAGAAGATCTGCCTGCTTTCCTGCCCCAGGTTTCTACAAGACAGAGGGAGAGAATCATGCCTGTGTTTTTTAAGTTCTTGTCTGGCAACCATTCAGGCATAGCTCACGTGAACTTATGAATTTGTTAAACATCCAGACACTAAGGAAAGGATCTTTTCATCAGGAAAGGCACACGTTGGAGATCTCTATGATGAATGCCACATTTGTAGTTACTTCTCAGCATTGCTCATGTAATTTGGAGTTCAGGTTAACCGATCTTCTAGCATATTCTATTCATTCTCTATCAATAGCATTTAAAACAGAGCCTTTCTCCTATTGCCAGTGCTTCAATTATAGTCCAATATTACTTCCTCTCTTCTGGGAAAAAGGAATGGATAATTTACCATGAGTTTATATAAAATAATTTACCAAGAGCAAGGTAGAGGAAAGCTGCTTTAGTTTCCCTTCATGCCCTCTTGGAGCCCCAGGGAAGAACATCAAAGATAACAATATGAAACATTGCTTTCAGGCAGCTCATTTACACTGGTCCCATTTAGCACCATACTGCATTACATGAAGGTTGTTTTTAATAGTTCTTTCCCCAGTGCAGCTGCTCTTTATATCTTCAAAGACTACTATGGTTGTTAATTCTCACAAAAATTTCACAAAGGTAGGTCGTAAGTTATTTTTGCTATTTTACTAATAACATGATAGCACAAAGGTAGTTTGATCATACCGAGGCTATCTGACAACTTAGGAACACATACATATGTCATTATATACATATCGTTCAGTTATGTAAATGGTTAAAAATGCACATGTGCAAATTATAAACATATATTTTCTCTTAGTGTATGTAGTTTTCCCATTTGAATATATAAAAAAGTTTTCCCATAAATCCCATACATTTCTGAGATATTTTTTTGAAATGTATATGCAGACCAAATATGACTTGTTCACAGCTTACCATTGAATGGATGATTGCTACCTTGATGAATACACAGCACCCATAGTGTGCAAATTCGGCATTCTGTAGGAACATTGAATTTATTATTAATAGAGTTTCTGTAGACTGATAACTCAGTTTCAATATCCTTTTTGTAAACCAAAGACCATGATAATATTCTTAAAATGAAGAAATATAGAAAAATCCCCTTTGACATTTTCCAAAAAGCTTTTATTTCCGTCTCTATTTCATTTTCCTCTCTTTAAATCTATTAATGAAATACTGCTTTTGTTAATGTTTTACATTTTAATTGAAAAATGTGAAGCTATTTGTTTTTATCTTGTTTGAATTTAAAAAAATAAAAATGAGAATTTAAAGAAACCAAATGCTAATCAAGTATGCTAAGTTCATATAGTTCAAAAGAGTTGTAGAAATACAGAAATCAAGACCCAACCTGTCTACTCTGATAAAATTGCCCCTGCCTCCTTTTGATTTTAAATTTAGAACTCTAAATATCATTAGTAGGATAGTTGCACATAATAGTGACAATACATTTTGAAGAATATTCATTCTTTTTAAAAACCGTATCTCATAAGTGGCCATTGAAGTCTATATTTTATTACTATGAATATAGTCAAGCCTTTGTTATTTTGTATTAAAAATTTTGAAATACCATTTATTTGAAAGGATTAGAATTTTCTAGATAAAAAAAGATTATATGGTGAAATCATTCTCTCACATTTTTATAGTCACTTATATTGGAAATAGTGAGAAAATACCAAAGGTCTGAAAAGGACTTGTAAATCCTAGTTTAAGTATCAGAATCACAATTAAAACATGGTTAAAAACACTTGATAAACTGTATCATTATATCCTAAAAGAAGAAAGAATTACAGAGAGAAACAGACTAGGACAGAAGTCAAAGACTTGGTCCTTGGGGTTAAGTGGACATATTAGCATCCTGGCTCTGCTCTGTTGTATGCAAGTTACTTAACCTATCTAAACCTCAATTTCCTCACCTATAAAATGAAAGTAATCATACCTTCCTCCAGGGTTCATGTGAAGTCAATTAAAAGAGTAAATCTACGGGCCAGCTGAGTGGTGTAGTGGTTAAGTTCATGCACTCCACTTCTGGAGGCCCAGGTGTGCAGGTTCGGATCCTGGGGCGGACCTATGCACCACTTATCAAGCCATGCTGTGGCAGGTGTCTCACATGAAAGTAGAGGAAGATGGGCGTGGATGTTAGCCCAGGGCCACTCTTCCTCAGCAAAAGAGAGGAGGATTGGCAACAGGTGTTAGCTCAGGGCTAATCTTCCTCACACACACACACAAAAGGAGTAAATCTATATGAAATTTATTGGCATGGTAACTGGTGCGCAGTAGATGTGCAATTACCACTGGCCGTTTTTCGTGTCCTTATTCGTGTTAGTCGTGTTGATGAGTGGTTCCCTATCTGCTGCACTGGCACCATGTGGACGTTTGAAATCTCATAACATAAAACCGAGACCAGCAAAAGTTTCTTCAATGTAAAGTAAGAAGATATTTAGGATTCAAATCTAGTGTTTGATCCAGGAAATATAGATTTTTTTTCCCCCTTCACAGTTAAGGTGTGTTGCTCCTGAGCTGTGATTATTACCATCACCTGCAGCTCAGGCCCCCTATCAGGGAGCATTGCTGCCTCCGCTAGATATTTACCTTCTCATAGGGCTTCAGCAGTCCCACACCCCACACCTCATGTACAAAGAACTAAATAAATGAAATCTATTCCACTAGCTTTTGAAATGAAAAGGTAATGTTTTTACCTTCAATAGGGCAGCTTGAACACATTGACCATCATAAATTAACATAAATTTGGTTTGTTTAGACAAGAAGTGTTTAGAGGAGTCTGACACTTGAGTAATCTACAAATGAACAATAAACTCTATATGTCTGTGTTACAGATTTGTCGCAAACTAAATGGTATCCGTTTCACCTGTTGTAAAAGTGCCAAAGACCGGACATCGATGTCAGTGACGCTAGAACAGTGCTCCATCTTAAGAGACGAGCACCAGTTGCACAAGGACTTCTTTATCCGGGCACTGGATTGCATGAGAAGGTATCCCACATGTCTTCAACATTCTTTCTTTTAAGCTCATTTTAAGGAAATTTTTTTTTCCAGATACTTATTTTACTGGAGGACTAAACATTTAGTAACTTCACTTCATTTCCATGGCTTATAGCTCATGACATGAAAGATGGAATAATTTTATGTATTCTCCCTACTCATTTTAGGCAATAAAAGAAAATGTGGCCGGTTTTTGATTATATGCATGGAGGATATATTTCACTAGCTCATTTAGACCCAAGTTAAAGAGCTCTGGTCATTGCATATATAACACTTGAAGAGCACAGTTCCTTTACATACAAGTAGTTATGAGTATGCCCAAAATAAAACTAAATCGTTATCCAAACAAAACCTTTCCAAATTGCAACTAATAGGTGATCTTCCCATGACTTGCAGGGTCTCCGGGTCACTAACCTCCTTCCTAAAATTATTTTCACGTCACTCATCATAAAGATGAGATGACACTGATACTTGAAAATAGAGAATTAATATTGTTACTCTGCTGACATTTAAAATGCTATGCCTGAAGTCATGTTTCTTGATTCATTTCCACAGTAATTAAATCTAAGGTCTCAGCTATAATGGGAAGGAAAAGTGCCTCATTCACAATGTCTGTCAGCAAGGACACACGTTAATTAAAAAGTTAAGCGAAATTGTCTCTTTGCTACAAAGACCGACTCAGAAGCACACCAGGAAGCATGAGACAGGCTCCCTGTTCCCAGAAAGGAATGTCATGTGGTGCTCTAGAGAGGGCTGCTTCTTATCTGGCATGTCATTAGCTTCTACTTTTCTTTTAACTGCTGCTGTCTCTCAGTGGTGACGTTGATGCTTGCCTGCCCTCATCCCTATCCCTGTATGTTTTCCCCACTAATGAGAGGTTTCTGAAGTCCTCTATTTTACCCTGTTTCATGTCTCCTGGCATTTTCATTATTCAGTGGAGTTCTATCATAATTTTTTGATAAATGCATGAGGACGTCTTAGATGCCTGACATGAACATCTCAGCCGTATGAAACACGTTTGGTTGATATAAAAACTTCTTTCAAAAATAACCTCTCAGCACTAACAGGAAAAATTCATCATCTGAGTATGAAGTCTTCTAATGTGCATTAAAGAAATACAAATATCACTCTGAATAGAACAAAGGTGCTAAAAAAAAAAAAAAAAAGAACAAAGGTGCTGAGTGAGGAGGGCGAAAGTACATGATACTATAGGCCAGAAACACTGGTGATCTAAAATGATTCAATCAACTTAAATTATCTGGAAGGTGAAATTGTTACTTGTTTATTTAAGGTAGAGGTAAGAGAAGACCCTCAAATTAGAAAAATAATTCTTTCAAACTGGTAAATAAAGGGTGTTTCTGTCATATATATGTAAAACTATAAAACTACATATTTTGATATTATGTAAAGGTTGTGCAGAACTGACATATATACAACATATTTGCTCATGACTTAACATTTATTGAGGTTCATTTTTGGTAATTTTTGGTAATTTATTTTTTGGTAAATTTTAAATCTGTCAAATTTATCCTTTGGTTTTGTGTATATGTGAGGGTTGCGTGAAAGTGTAAGGGTTTGTGTGTGTGTGTGTATGTGCACTTGCATTTAAGGGACATAAGATGTGTTCTTTACTTTAATAACTGCCATCATTTCCCTCTTTGGGTATTCAGTCTTACAACACAAGCCCATAGGTTTGTAAGCTGTGGCAACACAGCAGAGTAGATGAGAGCATGGGGCTTGGGAGCCAGCTGGTCTCAGTTTGAATCCAGGCTCTAAGCCACTTACTAGCCACAAGCAAGTTAATCTCTTACTGCCTATTAGTACCTTAGGCAAGTTAGTCAACCTCTTGATGCCTCCATTTCCTCATCTGTAAAAGAGACGTGATAGTAATAGCAGCCCTTCTTAGGGGTGCCTTGAGGATTAAATGAATTGATATTTGTGAAGTGATTAGAACAATGTTTGACACACAGTAATCACTATACAGTAGTCCCCCCTTATCTGCAGTTTCACTTTTTGTGGTTTCAGTTACCCATGGTCAGCTAAAGTCTGAAAATATTAAATGAAAAATTCCAAAAGTAAACAATACATAAGTTTTAGATTGCATACCATTCTGAGTAGCGTGATGAAATCTCACACTGTCCCCCCATTTGCAACGTGAATCATCCCTTTGTCCAGTGTATCCACACATCCACACTGCATACCAACCATTAGTCACTTAGTAGACCCCTCTCAGTTATCAGATGACATGCAGAGCAGTGGGTGCACAGGTATCGCAGTGCTTGTGTTGAAGTAGTCCTTATTTTACTTAGTAATGGCCCCAAAGCACAATAGTAGTGATGCTGGCAATTCGGATATACCAAAGAGAAACCGTCAAGTGCTTCCTCTAAGTGAAAAGGTGAAAGTTCTCCACTTAATAAGGAAAGAAAAAAAATCATATGCTGAGGTTGCTAAGATGTATAGTAACCTTTATTACAATATATTGTTATAATTGCTCCATTATATGATTGGTTATTGTTGTTAATCTCTTACTGTGCCTAATTTATAAATTAAACTTTCTCTTAGGTATGCATGTATAGGAAAAAACATAGTATATATATATCCACGGTTTCAGGCGTCCACTGGGGTCTTAGAATGTATTCCCTGCGGATAAGGGGGGACTACTGTATAATATTTATTAAATAAACCAAAAATAAATATCAAGGTTCATTATGTTAATATTCTGATCTTCCAGGTACAATAAAATCTAGCTAATTTTGATCCTTCTAATCTTTGTAAATATTTTATGACATAAGGTTTGACTCCAATAGCATATATTAAAATAAAGTCTGCTGCCAACTCTTATAAATAAGATTTCAAATGTAATGCTTTACCTGTTTAAGAAAATAAGCTCTTTAAATACCACTTTTAAAAATATGCATCTGTTTAAAAACGCTGAGCTAATTATGGATAGACAGCATTCATTAAAGTAAGATGGGATAGATTTCTTATGAACATTTTTTGATGTTAATGTGTATTATTGCATGCCCTTACAAGTAGTCATAAAATTTGAGATCAAGGAGTTACCTTAGAAGTTTAGTCAAATCTGCTTTACCTTATAAATAATGCAACTGAGTTCTAGAGAGTGTTTAGGCAAAAACTACTCAGATAGAAAGTATTAGCAGCACTAGAACATAGATGCCTTTGTTATATTTTAATGTTATTTTCTTTGTTACCAAATGAAACAAAATATTATCGCTTAAAATTACTTGGTAATGTATGTTACTACTTCAAATCTGTTAGTTAAAATATTGTATGTCATATGTCATAAACACCATATGCTTTTTTTTTTTTACTGAGGAAGATTGGCCCTGAGCTAACATCTGTTGCCAATCTTCCTCCATTTTGTTTGTGGGTCACCACCACAACATGGCTGACAAGTGGTGTAGGTCCGTGCCTGGGATCCATAAGTCCAAACCTAACTTAACCACTGTGCCACGGGGGCTGGCCCCGATACCGTGTACTTTTAGAAATTTGAGGCTGTGTGAGAGACCAAAATGGTCCGCCCAAATCCTGAGACCTTAAAGAGCAAAGTCTCGTCAGAGAATATAAACCCTTTAATTTCCACCTTCTCTATCACATTCATCATTCTGCAGTGTCTGGTCCAGAGTAAAATAAATATAAATAGTGGTTAAATAATTGAAGAACAGTCCAAAAAGGAATTCATTCCGCTGCCTTCTGTTTTTCAGACCCATGTAGCAACTTTCTCATCTTTTTTTAAAGTTGCATTTTCAATTTTGTTCTGAGACAGTAGTTTGGTTCTTACTTTTGTGTCTAAGCCTTGTTTCCTAGGGTTGCCCCTGGGTCTCTGTAGCTTAGTGGTCAGTCAGTGATTAGCCAAAGGATGTGCTCAAACAAGTCATTCCAGTAGGGCTTCCAACCTCTGCTGGGGTATGTTTGTGGATTGAGGAACATAAAGTTCAGAAGTTTTCAAATTTCCCCTACCTTTTATTTCCACCAGGCCCTGTTTGGTCCTACTGGTCAGCCCAAGATGTATGGAAATTTATCAAAGCCCTCCATGGCTCATCATTTCCAGAGTCTCCTGGTTAAATTTCTGGCTAGTCCACTACTCTGGAAGGTAGCCCAAGTGGGACTGCATCTAGGCTAGCTGTGAGGTTGGCCATCAGCGTTTGTTTGCCTCCAAGAACGCTAATGTTTCTGACGGTGCCTGAGAGTGGTATTTTCCACTCTCCCCTTCAAATGCAGTCAGGCCCCTTGGGCAGCAGTGAAGTTGTTGCTTTCCACCGGCAGCCCCATCCTGGTAGAACTTGAGCTGAGAGGGGCAGTGGTGGGAGCAGCGCCAGGCAGGAGGACCACAGCCTTCCCCTCCTCTCACCCGCACTCAGCAGCCTACCGTGAAGAAGCACTTCTCAGCTTGCTGCTTGCCTTTGCTTGATGACCACAGTACTGAAATGGTTGTTTTTGACAATATTTTCCAGGGTCATAGTTTTTTGGGGAGGAAGGAGATTTGCAGAGCTCCTCACTCTGCCATTTGGGAAGTCCCACCCTCCAGACAGTGGCTTTAAAATGCACGTCCGAACTGCTTCTGGTGCTTTTAAAAACTATGTATATTTGGACCCCACATGTTTTATAATTGAGAAGATATGAGGTGGATCGAGGGTTGTACATTTTTTAAGAACTTCACAAATACTCTGAGGCACAACGCTGGATTGAAAAAAAAAGGAAAAATCAGGATTTTAGAGGAGTTTGACTTTTATGCTTTTGAACATATTGGTTTTTGATTTTATTTAGCATCAGTTGCAGTTTCTTTTACCTTTGAAATATTCTAACCACCTTTGAGGCTATTTACTCTGAATTATTTTAAAGTTCACCCAGGTTATAATATCATCACAGTTTTCCTAGATTTATTTTTTCTTATCTATATTAAATTTTTCTATTGTATTGTACTTATCTCTGTAACAGTTTATGGATGAGCAAAATGTTATAGATAAAAA